TAATTCCAAAATACACGTTTTGCGTAATTAAAAATGTTTAGACAGACATTACAACCTTGATGTTATGCGCTTACCCATGTACATTAGAAGGTTTTATTCAAATGTCTTTTAAAAAAGAAGGTTCTTAATTGTTATTGGATTTATTTATTTATTTTTGTGGAATATAAGTATATATGTCATATGTAGATAAAAATGTATTAACATTTTATTATTATTAAATAATAACTATTGCAAATTTTAATGCATAGAATGAAATGCATGTCCTATGCCCCGAGCCGACCACACGGTCGGCATATTCAGGCAGTTTCAGTTCGCAGACTCAAGAATATTTACACAGCGCAATTCAAACTTACGAATCTGCGAGGAATCTATATCTGCAAATTTCTATTTATACAAATTTATATTTTGTAAAATTTAAATTGTTTAAAAAAGCAAACTTGCCAAAATTGCATTCCGAATTTTGCGGTGGAAACGTAACAAAAAGTAACTCTTCAAAGCCGTTTAAAATTAAATGCATGCACCTACTTTAATAAAAATTATATCTTATCTATTGTATTTATTTTTTGTTAAGATATAGGTTTATATAAGTACCTATACGTTCTTAGATACCTATTCCTATAAATGCTTGACTCGGATTTAAGACAGAGCGATTAGACCCAGTGCCCTTGCCTTTCCTACGTATATCGACGCCTGTTCTGTGCCGTTGGTAATGTTTCTCTAGAGTGTAAACGTCAGTCGTAAAATATGTTTGCCGAAATTACTTTAGATCGTAAGATATTCACACATTAATGTGTACTATAAATCGATCAATATGTGAAATCTTGATGTGTTCATATATTACCATGTAATATTGTGTCGTAAAACATACGGTACTGCGCAACCCGGGCTTAAGTCTTAATTGATTAATACATTACTGATTTTAGCCGTGGCTTCATCCGCGTAACCGGGATAAATTCATTGTCCAGAATAAAAAGTATAAGTAGTATAAGAAGTATAAGAAGTATAAGCTTATAACTCATATAGTCATTGATTAAGTTGATAAAGCACTACAAGGTAACAAACAAACAAATAAGCTTATTTTTATGTATATGATATGTAATATTAATAACTTTTTTAATGATTTAAGATTTTGTTCCACAAAAATGAAACTCAAATATCAATCGTAGCAAAACTAGTTCTTTTGAATTAAAATAAATAAATAATAAATAAATTCTTTAATCAAGGCGACCAGGGCCCACAAAATATTAACAATATTGGTTTGTACCAGATATAAATTATTAAATTAAATTAATAAAATTTAAAAACTACTACTGAACCGATTTTAATAAAATTTCTAAAGTATAAATCTGAAATAATATCCTTTCAAATAAAAAGTGAATTTTCCAAATCATAAATGACAGAGTCCTAAGGTCACAGACATAGAAAAAACTACAACCGAATTAAAAACTACCTGTTTTGAAGTCGGTTGTAAACGGGAAACTTTTTTATAGTAAAAGTGACTCAATGTGAAGACAAAGTAAAAATATTACAAATTATCAAAAATTTCACTCAAGTTTGTAAGAGGAGACTAAAATAACAAAACGCTGTACTTCCATGCAGGAAAAGGAAAAACTAAATGAAAGTTTATTTCAGGTCATTTGCTCAGAATAGAAATAGTATTCGTAGTCTTGAAGGACTGTCAGAAGCTATTTTTCATTTTCAACTAAATATAATTTATTTTATTTTTTTAAATCGATACGATTTCGTTCACTTATATCCTATCACGAAATTGTGTTGTCCCAATCACAATTTTCGCTACGGTTTTCCATATAATCACAAAATGAGTGACGAAAAAAAAAAACTCTTCCCTTGCTTAACTTCTGTTACTATGTACTTATTTAACTACATTTTTTTATATATTTCCTTATATCTATACATCACTGTATAGTTTATAAGCACATTTCTCTCCAAAAATTCATTTCTTCATTTCGCAAACAGATTTTTTTTTATTTTATCCAAAATTGCGAAAAATACCCAATCTGGCAAGGCCATAAGAATTATATTTTTATGAGTGCCTGGGTACTAGTTTCTCATAAAAAGAGAATTCTTCATTATTATTGAATCTTCATTCATTGATATCATACTAATGGTCATTTTAGTATTATTCCCTGAGAATAAAATACTTTCGTTTTATAAAATTTACCTAAAAATGAAGCACCATAAACGAATATATCGGATAACCGTTCAATTTCAGCCAAATCTTTACCTTGCGTTGGGGTTCGTGATGTTATTAGGCCCTAGTCGGTTCTCGATTACATATATTACTGGCCATATCCAGCGGCTTCACGTGCGGTAATCATTATATAATGTTAACTATTAGACTTTCGCTTGCATGGTTTATAGTTTAAAAGAGACAAGAGAGAATGACGCGATCATTTAGGTAAACTATCATAATTTAAATGCGTGGGATAAAGACACTGTCAGTATTGTGTTCAGAAATTCTTAGTGTAGGGACACAATTTGTGTAATTTGGGACAATGAGTGGGTAGAAGAATAAACTTCTGCCTCGGAAACGAAGGCATAATAGTGCTACATCAATCTACTCGTGGCTTCGGCCGGTGTAACCTGGTCGAAACGTCTCCAACAACTCAGGTAAATTATTATAGTTTACCTAAATGATCGCGTTAATATCTGACTCTTAGAAACTAATATACAATATATCTTATGGTCAAAGTTAGGATAGAATCTATCCATATACCATATTCTATTTAAATCCGTTTAAAAGTTTTTGAATGAAATAATTATAAACATTCATTATTCTCATAAACTTTTGCATTTATATAAGGAACCCTTATGGTTCGACTTTATCCATTCATCCATCCGTCTATAACAACATTACATTGTAACGTTAAATAATAAATCTTTTTTATTTCGATTTAATAGTCTTAAAATAAATTTATTATACTAGTACAATAAAAAAAAAAATTCTCTGCAAAATTTCTTGGAATAGTTCTTACGAGTATATATATATATATATATATAAATATAAAAGCGAATTAATAACTTTTGACGTCATATTAGTACAACCAATCGTCATGAAATTTGGTATACAAATAAAACTTCCTATAGAGAAGCAGAATTTTTCGTATTCATATTTGAATCGTTTGAAAAAATATTGTCACTTGCTTCATTATTTATAGGGCACGTAGAGCCGTTGTTCGCCTTGCAGAATGAGACATGTTGATGGTCTCGGTTTTTATACCAAAAAACGGAGATCGCAGTGACATGATTAATATTAAAATATATTTATCTACTGATTTTTATATTAGTAGAGTTCTATACATATAAAATGACAAGTTTTTTTTTTTTATTAATGAAAGTGAAATGGTGCATCTGGCAATGCCAATAACAACAGCACTAGTGGAGGATGGCGTGGGTCAGGTAGTCCACTATAGAAAATTCACTAAGAAACTACAATTGTTTTCAAGAGGGACTTGTAGGTCGATTGATTGTGTACATCGCAAACAATGAAAACGAACATATCCTTATTACAAACTATTCTCGACACTTACATGGGTAAATTTTATTGAATGAAAAAATTTAATAAATTTAACATAGCAAAGCGAATCATCACCACAAATAATATAAATATATACTTATTTAGAGATTATATGCGGAATACTTAGTGTTTCAGTTAAAATTAAAAAGCATCGAACTTATTCTGTAAAATATCATTAAAATTCAATTAAACGCACATTATTTGTAACAGGTGTTTAATGGACTAGAAATTTATTACATTATTTTACATAATTTGTTGCATTCGCATTTCGGTTCATTGTAATAATAATATATTAAAACTAAATAACAATACTCAGATAGTTATGTACATATTTGTATATATAATTCGACTTAGTTCTATGTAACAATTTAATAAATGTTTTATATTCGTACAAAGCAGTAATTAAATAAGTATTAATGAAGATAACGTTTAAGCAGTAAATTTCTTAATTATAATTATTTATTCATAATTATTCTTCGGGATTGTTCGATTAGTTCTTTCATTCGTTTATTTCAATAGGGATCTTTACGTTATGCTTTCATTTAAAATATCTTTATCTACGTAGATGATAGATTCCATCTCTAGATTCGAAACGATTTGATTAAAAAGTTCTAGCTTTGAAATATCATTAGCCATTAGACGATAAAGGTTAAATGTATTAAAATGAGTAGCTTTTTTTAACTAAATAATAATAGTTTGATTATAATACTTAAGTATATATCTGACATTACTGCTTTAGTAAATCATATATACCTATGGAATCTGAAATTAATTGACAATCCTATTGATGTAATAATATTGTAATTAAACGATGTCTGCACTTGAAAGATATTTAAGAAAAAATAATTATGAAGGATCTTAATAAAATCAATCATTCAATAAAAAAAACGAAAGATTCCATGTCTTTCATCAAAGTTCTATTAGATTAAAAAAGTTACTATATAAATTTGAAATAGTATAAGTTATAATCTGTATATCTGAAAAAAACATTGTAATGCTTACGTTTATCCTTAATTATGTTATTTTTTTGTATTGTTCTCTGTTTTCTAGTATGTTCATATCTGTTATTGTGAACTTGTAACAAATAAATAAATAGAGATCAAAACAATATATATATTTTTTTTATTTTGTTAACAGGTAGAAAATAAATGCTAAAAACAGAGAACTGCATTGGTTGGAAGGCAATGAGGGATGCCTATAACCAGCGGTGTATCAGCGTAGTTAGTTAATTGTAGTAATAACGATCTAATATGTTACACAATAAATAAGTAATTAATAAAACGATGATTTTTATTAATTTTGGTAAATTATTCCAGTTGCTACCCTGTGGGATGATTTTATTACGGTAAATTAATCTTAAACTTAAAATACATCTTTGCTAATCTTATAAATGTGAATGCACCTTAAGGGTTTAACCGATCACTATGAAATTTGATATATATACGTGTACTATATGGAATGGAGAAGGACATAGATTACTTTTTATCCCTATCAGTGAATATATTCTGGTCACGTGTACGAAGTCGCGAGTATAAGCTAGTACAACATAATTCCTATGGGACTCGGATAAGTGACGTCGCAAAAGTTAGCTAGTTTACGTTTAAAATCTTCAACTTTAACTACATATTCAAAGTAATTTTAAATAAATTACGTAGTTAATACTTGAATGTAAAATCTTATGCAACCATCATTTTGTTACTATGTTTTCAATAAATATGCTATTACTTGAAATAAAAATCTTCCATCAAAAGGGCAAACTGGATATTCGTTTCGACAGCTCTTGACTCCTGACGTCCTTCCAAGTTCGTATGCTTGTTGAAAAACTTGTAACGACGACTTATCTTCCTCGAGAGGCTCTAAGCTGAAATAAAAAAGTAAAAGTAAATTGAATTGTTTATTGTCTATGTGTATATATATACTTTTTTGAATAATAATAAATGATACACGATTTCACTAATTGCTTGATATACCTATATTTTTAATTAAATAGCATCATATCAAGATCTACTTAAACTATTAGCCAATTGAGAAACATTTGTGATAGTAAATAGAAAATTAAAGGATAAATGAACCAGACGGAGGAACAAAGCCGGAACTTCATTAATGTAAAGCACCATCCACGTCACTGCATCGCAAAGCTCTTTAAATATTTGTCCCTAATTCAACTACCTTAATATTAATTATAGAGGGTCGAAGGGCAGGTTGTCCAAAATGAAAACAGTTGATTTAGATGGATGGTCTAAATCAAATGGCAGATTATTTTCCCACCGGAAATGCGCTACAGCATTTAAAATTTTACGATCCACACGACGCGTGATACTCGTATTTACACCGCGCGCTTAATAGCGCTTCTTCGTAGGTAGTTTCCGTATGCTTTTGACGTTGACCTTACATAGCTGATTCCGCGCTTTGCGATATTATTGAATACGTATAATACATTGCTGTTTTTTAATATTGTATAGTATTTCACTATAAAATATTATTATTTCTTTATATTATGACATAATATCCATACATTACATTATTGTTGTACATATCTATATGGGTATATCTTGTCAGTTAAGTGTATGTATGTATGTATATGTATGTGTATGTGTGTGTGTGTGTGTGTATGTGTATGTATGTATATGTAGGTATGTATGTGTGTATGTGTATGTGTGTATATATATATATATATATATATATATATTTTTTTTTTTTTTTTTAATTCATAATGTATGTAACTTTTTGTTGTTGTCAATAAATGTTTTCTTTCTTTCTTTCTTTCTTTCTTTACATGATTTTAAATGAAAAAACAGGGAAATAATTTGATATTATCCAAAGAATTTCTGAATAAGAAAAATTAAGCTCGCCTGTTGTACATCTTTATTTAATATAAATTATATGTGTCTAATTTTTTGTATACAATAAAGTATTAAAAAAATTGTATTGGTTTTCAATTTAGAATAATGGTCTGGATTCACGATTTCAGTTTTTGCAATCTGTCCCTTACACCCTGTATAATCAATAATATAAAAGAGGTTTCTTAAACATGTTACATGTTAAACAGTTACCAGTTTGGTAACTATTTTAACATGTTTAGTTGTAGTTATTCCTAGATACATTTTCCATGACTATTTAATCCAGCTGTCATGATAAATTCTACAGATTTTGACAAAACGTACATAGTAATTTAATTACATTTTTCTTTAAAAGTGAATCTAAATTTCGATCTCGATGATTTTTTTTTGTCCTTTATGCCTTGATGCCTTTATTTCAGATTCTGCATATCCTAAGAGATATGGCGAACATAATGACATTTTAAACGAAGCATTTACCATTGGATCTTTGTAACTTGTAAGATATAATCAGACCCATCTCAGCCTAGACTATTTAATAACTGTCAACTCGGTAGAATGAAAATGGTTCTACAGTGCACAATGTATTTTATTGTTGTTAGGGAAACATTTTACTTTGTATATCAGTGAAGGTATTTGTACAAACGTATGCATAGATACATTAAAATTGCTTGCATGAACTTTTCTAATCTAAATGGTGAAATGTGACAGAAAGACTTAACTACTTATTCTCGAGAACTTCTTAACACAAGAGATAATAACAAATGAGTAATATTTTAGCTATTAGGTAGGAATACATATATGAGTATTCATTCTCTGTAATAACTACTTAATCACTACAACTTATAGTGATTAAATCGCGAAATATTGCTTGATAATCTCTTAAAAAATAACTGTCAAAGTATAGGTAAAGTTAACGTTGTTTTTCAATGGACTTTAAAAAGAACAAAAGGTTATCAATTCGGTGGTATTTTTTATGGTTTGGAATTTTTTTTATCTGAAAAAACGATATCAGAGTAGTTACTTTCGGTTTCGTCTATAGAAATTTGAACAAAATTAGTTTAGCAGGATATTTTTAATAAAATTTCTATGAAACTAATCTAAAAGTATATCCTTTCCGATAAAAAAAAAAAAGAATTTTTGAAATCGGTTTACAACTGACGGAGTTTTGAGGTAACAAATACAAAAAAAATATAACCAAATTGAAAACCTGCTTCTTTTTGGTTGGTATTAAATATTTTTAAAAGTTAGTTTAAAAGAAACAAATTTTATTATGAGAAATGGAGCTGAGATGGTTTAAATAATTCTATAAGTATGAAGAATGAAAGAGAGAAACATGTTACGCCGACTCTGAAAATAATTGAGGTAAGGGTAGGAAGACGATGATGATAAGTTTATAAGAAACAAATATATGTATGAGATTTGTATAATTTTAAACTCAACTATTTCAACTCTGATATTAAGTACTTATGATAAAAAATATTAATCATAAATATTTACCTAAAATAAGTACTTCTAAAAAGTAGCAATACTTTTTAATATCACAAACCATAATCCTCTTTAAACTGAAACGTAATTTAATAATTACTGGTTTAACTTATGTGTAAAAATAAAAAGAGAAAATTAAGAGACTATTGAAATAAGTCGCCGTTCAAATTTTAATATAGACCAATGATGGAAAATTTCGAGTGCCTGGACGCCAGTTCTCTGCGTTTCATCCACAGTCAATTCTAAAGGTGTCTTATTAAAGGGCGTCACCGTGAGTACTGTATGTACACAACAGCTTAACAAAACAACTAGTGGCAATAATACGGCAGACGAAGAGGAAGACTACGTAGTTCATATCCGAAAAGTTCCGAATGCCGCCTTTCTTATTTGTGACGATGCCGCAAGCGCCTACAGCTGCGCTCAGCAGGCCAAGGTAAACAGTCAGGCTCATGCTAGCTTCACAGTTACTCATGACTAAGGATCACGAATTGATTCCGAAACTAATCAATCTTTTTCACGTAAGTTAAACCGGTAGTTATTAAATTAAAATATAATGTGTGCTTACAAAACTTTTAACAATGAAACAAAATTATTTAAACATAGCTGCTTCAAGATTAGTTAGTGCTCGGTAACAGTGTTTCCAGTTTTCTTATGGTTCCTAATGGTAATTTACATAACCGTAACTACACATTAGTGTTTTATTCAATGTATTAGTATTTCACTGGGTCTCATTTCATTAGAGGTATAGGTATATTATTATTGGTCTACCAATTACTTGCCAGCCACAAGAACAGTTATCATCATCACATCACCTTTTAACTATTCACTGCTGAACATAAGCCTCCTCCTAGGGAGGTTTTGCCAGTAGTTGCCACGCTTGGCAAGCGGATTGGCAACCGCAGTTAGGCTTTGGAGATGTTTTAAGAGGGACGCTACTGCCCATCCTTCGACCTCTTAGTCACCTCTTACGACACCCATGAGAAAGGAAGAGGTGGCCGATTCTATGTTGAGAATATATTAATGGTATATGATTTTATTTTATGTATAGTTTCATTCATACTGTATGTATTTTTGTGTCTCATCACTGTTAAATTAGTTGTCTTGAAATATCCCGGAGATAAAAAGAAAAAAATATGTATCATATCTATCTATATTTGCGGCTGTGTAGCTTCAGCATAGAATGGGCCGCCCCTTCCATTCCCGTGGATGTCATAAAAAGACTAAAAGGGAACTTAATGGTCGAGGAATAGGCAGCAATGTCCCTCTTCAAGAAAACCTAACTGCGGTTGCCAACCCGCTAACCCAGCATGGCAATTATTGGAAAAACCTCCCTTTGTCAAAGGTAGTCTACGGGCAATAGTGAACTGTTAACGCCTGATGTGATGTGTGATGATAAATATCACACATTACAAGAGTCGTAGATAGTTACAGTAAAAGGCAAACCTGATTGAAATATACATACTCATATGTAAGTCAATCTTGTCCCTAACTGTACATAGCTATATACAATTCAGGCTGAAAACCCATTTGACTAATATGATGTTTAATTAATTTATGTAATGTAACCAATAATAATAGTGAAATACAATAGCTTACGTTAACATTAGGGCGAAACCTCTTCGAATTTCATTGTCTGTGTTCGCTCCGAGGTCACAATACAGGTACCGGGCGCATTGTATCGTGTCGTGGAGTAATATCTTTTTCCATCTCACCGTGTGATACTGTAAAAGAATTGGATTAATAAGATTACTTTGAGGAAAATTTAAAAAATATCATCATCATCAAATCACCTGTTATTTGTTTACTGTTAAATATAAGCTTTACTAAAAGACTGTCATAAGGAACGGGGTCATTCCTTCCGGCAGTTTACCATTGAGTGGATTTTGCTAGTAGTTGCCACCCTTGCGGGTAAATACATACCTAAACGTACACATAAACCTCTTTAAAGTGGTCTTTTCTTCGATGTTTTTTCTTTTTAATGGGTGATAATGGAACGGTAACCCGGCCCGTCCTATCAGTATACGCTAGCGGGGCACCAGTGAGGCATGAGAGGTGATTATGAAAGCAGGTCAGTTAGCCCATCATGACGAATTCCAGGAGGAACCGCGTGGAGGTCGACCTGAGTATTGCTAGCAATGGGTTAGTTAGACTCCATTACTAACAATCCCTTTCCCCCTGGAAATCAGCCTGCTGACAGCCTCCCACTGGAAAATAACCTTAAACACATCAGTAGTTGTGAACATATTTTTTGCCGCGTTGTTCCGGCATAGAATGGGCCGTTCCTTTCTTTTGCATGGTTGTCGACTGAGGTAATTTAATGATCAAGAGATGAGCAGCAACGTCACTTTTCCAACCTTTCATAATATCACCAAAATCTAACTGTTGTTGCCAACCGGCCTGCTAAATTTGTTAACTATTGGCAAAGCTCTCCTTATGGAGCAGGCCTTTACTCAAAAGTGGACAATTAATGGCTGATATAATAATGACAATACTAATGGTTTATAACACCATAAAATAATAATATTTTAATTTATACAGGAACTATCAAAAGAATATTTATATACATGGAATTTTATACAATGCTGACTCAATAATAATGTGGAGAGCACTCAATACCAGAGTTGCGATTTATAAGCAATCCTTTCTTTTAAAGGTTTTAAAGTAAAGGTTACAATTGAATCGATCAATCAGAGCGGTGAAAGATCAATCAATTGAACGCTTGACTGCGACGCGGAGCCATAGGATTGAATACCTTAAAATCTTTCAGTTACTTCTAGAAAAAGGAGGTTCTAAATTCTGCTGTATTTACTTTTTAAAAAGTTATGCAGTATCTTAACTAACTTAATTTTTAAAAAAACAAAATCATTTTTTAAATCAACTAAATATTCAGATCTTATCGTTATTATAAGAAAAAAACTTGTGAGTGTGCAAGTGTAAATATGTGCGCGTATACGTGTGCTTAAGGTCGAAGTTTTTTTTTGGCGAATCAAAATATACTTGTTTATGTATATTGTTACATGATATCTTCGCGAAAGGGCGTGTCAGCTATGGTTCGACTATTACTTAATAGTAACTACGTAAGTCCGGTAAATCAAGTCACGTGCTTTTGTGTACAGCGAAAGTGACCTAGAAACTCTTGTAATAAACAACCAAACAACAACAGCTTTGTGCCTGTAACCTGTTTCCATTAATATATTGTATTTACTTTTATTTTAATTTTTTTATACATAGTGTAATGAAAAATGAAATGATGAATTCATCCCATGGAATATCGTAAATATTGCCTTTAGTAAATCAATGTTTAGTAAATAAAATACATTAATTTATGTTAATCTGCTCTATGGATATCACAAAATTCATTATTATTTGGTATTATACGTATTACTATATCTGTTGCCATTATGTATACCATAACTAACTGTATCTCGTGGTTTCGTCCACGTAAATCAGTACATAAATAGAACATGTACATCATTCTATATGCTAAATTGAGTTATAGCCTACTCGTGTAACAAATTTCAATCAAATTGGTTTTGTAATTTTTGTGTAAAAAAAGTAACAAGCATCCATCTATTGATTCTTACAAACTTTCGCATTTATAATATTGAAAGGACTTTGTTAAGCATATAACCTATATAAGTACAAAATCTCTTACTGATGAGAAAACATATTAATGTAGATATTACGTAACAAATATGATACTATGAGTATATAGATAATATGAGTATAGTGCATTTAATATACTCTTTTACAGCATAACATTTTATATTGTTAGTTGAGTTATAATGCATTTTATTTAAACATAATCTTTCTTGATTTATGGACCGGAGATAGCGGTGACAAAGTAGAGTTTTTGAAATGTTTTCTTAAAAACTACCCTCTACTTTCCGATTATAAGTTATAGTTGTAAGCACTTTTGACGAGGGTAAAAAGTATTACAGACATTTGTTTTGGTGCCAGAATTTTTTATGTAGACAGTGGAATATGTTTAAAAAATAAGGTATTCATTAATATTAAATATTTTAATATACCTACAATTGTTCAATGAATGTATCAATAAATTGAGTACGTGCATACTCAAATTGATTGGTGGTCAATATTTTTATGGTTGCTTGTGTTTTTATTGTTTATTGCTGTGATTATTAAGTTTTGATAGATGCCAAGACAATCTGAATAACATAAACATCTAGAAAAAATTTAATTAAATTAAACACAGTAATTTAGTACCTAATATGTTTATACTACTATAATGTTGTTATTCTAAGTTTAATTTAATTGATTGTATGTATTTGCGATGTCATGTGCATTTAGTTAAATCTTGTTCTTATTTGTGAAAATCTGTAATTGGTTAATTGTCTTTACTGTCTTTTTTTTTTAATATGGACCATTTTAACTTTGCTTTAACTTTTTCTTTATAATGAATAAATAGATACCAGTACAAGAGAAAGAAAACAAGAAATATCATACTATACTGTCTTACAAGCTAGCATGGTGATCTTTGTCTATATATAGACCTATATGTAGTGAAATGAATATAGCGAAATGTATATAGATATATATTTCGCTTATAATAATATTAGTAGGAAGTATAATTGTGTACAAATTAATACACATATGCGTATTAATTACAATGGCGGCCACATTCAAGGATTCTAACAATAAATAGGTACATATTTCAAATTAATTCACAGATATTGATCCAAATATGCGATGAAGATAAGTATTGTTATGAAGCTTATGCTCTATTTATCACATTATTTAATGTATATTTGTAAAAATATTATATTGTTTTTATTTTTTAACTTTACAATATATATTTGTCCATTAGAGTAACAACTTGGTGTTCTGATATACATATTTATACACACAGTTATAAAAATATTCTACTATTTTTGATAAAACATTTGAATTGGGATTCTCTAGAGACTACAGTTTGGGGTTCCCCAAAAAGAGTATATTAAGGTTACATCAGGGTCGGAAACGCACACGTGACACTCCTAGTATTGCAAATGTCCATAGGCTACAGTAACCGATTACCATTAGGCACACTATGCTTGTTAGCCACATTTGTAGTATAAAAAAAGAAAAACGATAATTGATTTAGATATATTTTTGAAGAGAGTATTCTACTAGCGAAACTGAAGATTATCAACAATGACAAATGGGTCGAAAAACCACCAATCTTGCATTAAAAACTGTTACTATGAAAAACTCAACGTTCATTTGTTGTTTTTGATTTTAGATTATTGAAAATTTGTATTTTCGTTTATTCTTAATTTTTTTTTTAATATTATAATCAGCACATTCAATTTTAACGAAATACATTCGCTTGAAATTATTTCTATTTCAAAACAAAATAAAAATTAGGACTTGTTTTGTACACCTGCCAAAGCTTCGAGCTACCATTGTGTAGATGAATGACCTACTTTTCTATTTCTAACATATAAGTTATTATTATTTCTCTTTTAAATTATCAATTATATATGGGCAATATCGATACTGCTCTCATATCTATATATTGAGTTTCTCTGAACATTGATGGTGATGAAGAAAGATCATGACCCATTTATTTAAATAGGTTATGCTCTCTTCGTTAAATGGTTATTTTATTGGGTGTTTTATTTAAATCCCCCATTCTAGTAGGATATCTATATTCATTTCCATTGGGTCTTTCATGTTGATATTATATATTGGATAACCGACATTTTATATATCCGTTATTGAGAAAATATAAAAATATTATAAAATATATAAAAAAATTATAATATATAGATATTATATATGTATAAACTTTATTATCTAAGGTAATGCTAATGATTTTGATTTAACCCTCTTATCGCTGTATTTATCTGTATATAGAAACACAAGCCTATAGTTATATAGTATTCCTTAAGTCTTCTCCCCATAAATCAATTTCAGCTTCTCCGATATTGACATTATTAAGTTATAGATCATAATAATATACATTGAAGAAACAGATATTTGCTATGGCAATATTACGTATCTTATTTTTTTTTTATTTATAATCATATTGATAACATGCGATCTATTAATTTATGGAGACTGTTACCATACCAATTATTCTTTTCCTTATATTATATGAATGTTACGGATTGTATTTGAAATGAAAACAGACATGTTTTGTTAAAATATTAGGAATAACTAATAATATCATTATTCGCACGCACGCGCGCACTCACGCACGCACGCACACGCGCACGAACGCACGCACGCACGCACGCACGCACCCATACACGCACACACACACACACACACACACACACACGCACACACATATATAATTTATACTACTTAGAATGGCAAACAAGCTGACGGCCTACCTGATGGAAAGTGGTAACCGTCGCCTATAGACATGAGCAGTACCATGGACATATTTCATTTCGCTCATGATACCCCCCTTTGCGTTGCTATTCCTGAGGACTCAGATGTTATTCCTCTGTACAATTAGTAATAACAACAGTAAATTCACGCCATATCTCACCCTTCAAATCGAAACACAGCCATGCAAACACAACTGCTTCACGGTTGAAACACGAATGGAACAGAGGTACCCAAGCAATCGACTTTTGTACAAAGTCTCCCTCTGGTGGCCTAGCCACTAGCCTGTCTTCCCTCATTTTCTCTTTGTTTGGTTGTATACGCCAACAAACCTATATGGTTTTTAGTATCGCTTTTTGTTGTTAAAGATTACGTAAGCACACATTATATTTTAATGTAATAACTACCGGTTTAACTTACGTGTAATTAGATCGAAAAATCTCGACTAGTTTCGGAATCAATTCGTAAGTCTTTGTCATAAGTGACTGTGACGCGAGCATGAGCCTGACTGTACGAGGTCTGTCCGGAAAGTTCGTATAAAAGTGTTCTGGAATGCGAGAAAGAGGAGTGGGGAGGCCAGGTAAGCGCAGGACCCCTTCCTTATGTCCCTAACAATGCTTCAGTTCTGGTCTGACCGCCGTGCGGTGAGGCTTGTCACGCCATCTGTGAAGTTACCTCTTAACGAAACCCCGTCGGCATGGAGCCCGCTTCCGTTGAAGAGCAGCGCGTCGTAATCAAGTTTCTCTCGAAACTCGGCAAGAATGGCCGTGAAATTTTTGCCGATCTCAGAACAGTTTATGGGGATGATGCTGTGAAGGAACCAACCGTCCACAAGTGGCTAAAAAGATTCAGAGAGGGCCGAGAAAGCGTTCAAGATGACCCACGTTCAGGACGTCCTTCCACTTCACATTCCGATGAAAACGTGGAAAGAATTCGAACTTGTGTTAATGGGGACCGTCGTTTAACGGTCAGACAGGTGGCTGAAGAGCTTAATTTGGGCAAAACCGTGGTCCACGAAATTCTAAGAAACGAACTTCAAATGAAAAAAATTTGCGCCAAGATCGTTCCGTGAGTTTTTGAGTAAAAATTCCATTACGGTGACCGAACACCCCCCTATTCGCCGGATTTGGCCCCGTGTGACTTCTTCTTGTTCCCAAAAACCAAATTGGTACTTCGGGGGCGGCATTTGGGGGACATAAATGAGATAAAAAAAGCTACGACGGGGCAGCTGAGAAACCTATAACCAGAGGACTTTCAAGGAGCCTTCTCACAGTGGAAACGGCGTTGGCACAAGTGCATTATGTCACAGGGGGAGTACTTTGAAGGGAATAAAATTGATTTACCTGAATAATTGTAAAATAAAATTTTTAAAAAACTTTTATACGTACTTTCCGGACAAACCTCGTATGCTTCGGCCCTGTGAGCGCGAGCTGTAGGCGCTCGTGGCATCATCACAGATAAGAAAGACGACGTTTAGTACGCTTGTTTGCTATTTTTGATTATAAGGTGAAATCAAATGTCCAACCGTATTTAATATATCCTAGTAATAACACTAACAAACCTTCAATAATTGTTACTTAATTACTTTTTATTAAAGTTGAGTAAACAGATATACCTATTCTAGGTTAGCAAAATTTAAGACATTTTTTGGCTTTGACCTACCGCACTAAAAACTTGGCTTGAAGAAGAATACAATAATATTTTTTATTATTTATTTAAACAAAACCGCTGTATTTAAATAGTCCACTATAAACCCATAATGCGAATTATCTGCGATATTTTCTCAGATAAAATTATGCTTAGTTTACTAGGGTTTTAAGATTTATATACGAGATGCGACGAGCAAGAAAAAGCTTAATTGCACTTAATTTCTTATTTATTTTATATTATCTATAGATACACCGTAGCTTTAACTACGTATAATTAAGATAAAATATTTTTCACAGGAACACCAACGGCATTGAAAGTGTGCTGCCGGCCTTTTAAAAAGGAATATGCTCTTATCTTGAAGACTGTGATATCGTATCGGTTCGGAAATACTGCTGCTGGAAGTTGATTCTAAAGAGTGGTTGTGCGTGGAAGAAAGTGCCTTGAGAAACGCACGGTGGAAGACCGCCCCTTGTCTAGATGTTTGGGTTGATGATTAGTTAGTTGATAAACTGAAACCCTTTTCTTGCACTATTATTACTGTTCATTTCACTTGCTCTTATATTCCACATTTATCCCTTATCAGGAGGCTTTAGTATATAATATTGTATAAATTATAATTATATAATATACTATTTATAAATCCGAACATTAGTCTTTGAGCAAAATTAGCAGCGATATTATCCTTTAAGGAAATGATTGCTACTATTAATTCATTATTATTTCGTAATATTACTTTTCATATTCACAATAATTTTACATGTTAACACACTAATAATTACCTAATGTCACACCTGCTACTGTTTTCTATGGAAAATTAAATATAAATTATGATTTTTATAATTTATAGTCTCTATTCACTCGCTCTTTATTGTGATTTTACATTATGACATTTTAAATTCAAACGTAACAACTATTTATGTTTTTAAACATTATCTGTGATAGTCAACAAGAATAAAAATAACTGTTGTGATATATTCATTTCCTATTAGATTTCATATGCTGCTTGTGCCAAGTTCATGCTAACTGTACTTATGGTTACAAAATGACGCTGTATCTCAGAGGGATAATGATTTCACGGAAAAATTACAACTTTCATTAATGATAATTAATATCACGCAAGAGGACGAGACCTAGATGAAATCACTAATGGATTTTTATATCAAACATGATATTCCCGGTTAAGAGGGTAATCTATGTATTAACGTCGAAGAAACTGCTCAGTAACTTTGAAGTCCTCTTAAATGACTTTATCTCTAAGATATGACTTGAGAAAAGTCGACGTAGTAATTTAAATTAATCATTCTGAATAACAGTAAAATTTCTCTCCGCAAATAAAATAGCGACGTTAATCGTGATAAAATTAACATTTACTAGTAATCACACTATTCGTATCTTAAATCGAATATCATTATGTTTGTTTTGTTTGCATCTGTGGATATATTTTGTAGACACAGATCAAACAAATATTTTAATTTAAACTGCGGAATTGTATGTAACAAATTCCCCTACTTGTGCACATTAGTATTCATAACAGATCTGTTTAATGTTTATAGTCTGATACTAACATTATAGAATAACTTACTTATAAACAAATAGATTTTGTTGGACATTAACCAACGTTTTATTCCATAATCAAAAAGAACAGAAAGACCAATCGACTTAAATGAATGTGAAATCAAGACATCAGTAAACCTTAAATTCACCGTAAGTTATAAAATTTAGTTTAAAAACACGCGACACAATAGCATAACATACAATGAATAATACCGATGAATTATGAAAATCGTTTAAAATGTGAATAGAAAATCACAATAATTATTTGATAATAAAAAATAGACTTACCCGATTTGAGCTTTGTGAGCTTACATCCCTTTTGAAGAGAAATTTCATTAATAGTTTACCGGATGTTATTGACTGGAAATCCTTTACAAGGATGTGAAGGCTATATAGGACACCCAGAAGTAGACCCAACAGGATTATAAGTCTGAAAAAAATATCCTTTTTAAGAAAATCTAAAAAGATCGCATTTTAATTATATATATTAATTTATAAGATTAGGCATATGGAAATTTGTTAATAGCAGATTGTTATTAAAATAATTGACTGAATTCCCATAATCATTACGGGCGTTACGCCCTAAATCCGTTACCACTAATCCCGTGGGATGTTTTGAAATACGGAAAATCTGCGCAAAGTTTAAAGGTTACTATAGTTAGTTACAAATCCTAGCTGAGACTAAGCGTTAATTATTCCTTTAAAAGCTTATTATTATAAATAATTTTTAATCAGTTGTTATGTTGCAATTTATTCGATTGCTATTTTAATAATAAATAAATAAATCTTTTTATGAACTATATAGATTCGAATTGCATGTAGTCCTGATTTCTAAACTAGCGTTAACTGTATGTCAGGAGCCAGTGACTTCTCAAGTTATAATTTAGTGACAGTTCCATAATTATAAATTTACGTTAATTAACAATATAGTAACAACATATTGTTATTAATTAACAACTCATAATTATATCTATGCATCATATGTAATATTTGTATGTATGTATGTGAGTATGTATGTTTATAAGAATAATATACAATATTTTTTCATTTATTTTAGTGTACCCGTCAATAAAATACCTCTAATCTTTTTCATCTTTAATTACAATCATTTGTGCATTTAGGCATTTTATATTAAGTACCTAATACATATTTTTTACTTCAACATAGAGTGGCAAACAAGTTGACGGCTCATCTGGTGGATAATGGTAATCATCTCCTATAGACATGAACAGCACAATGCGTGCATTGTACTATTAATGTCTATAGGCACATGTCTATGACGTCGTTGTCATTCCTGAAGAGTAAAATGTTATACACAGTAATTTCACAGCTGCTGATGCAGAAACACGATTGAAGCAGTGATACTCAGGCGGATGATTTTTATACAAAGTCTCCTTCTTTACCCTCCTTTTCGACAACCTTGGTTGTTGAACGGTTCAATACATCACCTCATCTTCGCGGTGATCGTGTTCATGATGTTAATGGTCACAGGTTCGATCTATGGATTTCTGATGTCTGTATTGGTTCTGATATTTTTTTTGTATTTATACGACTTATTCCTAGCTTTGCATGTTTTTTGTAAACATAAAGTACAGCTCATAACATTATAGTCGATAATAAAGTTTTCTACAGATGAAAGATTTTTAAAAATCGTTTAAGTATTTATTGCGTTTACGCATTACAAACAGGTAAATACATAAGCATCTCTGTAAATTATAAATATCTATTAATCCCGTCTTTCTCGTGAGTAGGAATTAGATAAAACCTTATCTGACAAATCAGTTTAGAGTACGATAGAGCTGATACACCAGAAGAAAGTTTACCTTCTTGAGGTGTATCAGCCTTATATGTAGCGAGCTTTGAAGCCCTTAAAATAAAATAAAAAATATTTATCTAGTATTCATAATACGTACAAGCACTACTTAGTTTGAGAATAGATAGTACTGTAAAATCTTGGTAATTAAAATGATTTTTTTTTTGTAAATATTTGATATTGAATGAGATCATATCTCAGTATGTTATTATTATAATTTAATTAGTACAATTATTATGAAGGAAATAATGTGTTAAGAGCAAATGTTAATTTTATTATTGTTATACGTTACCTTTATATTTCTAAATGAAAGTAACATGAATAGCTAAGTAGTAAACAAACAAAGAGCCCCGTACACGAAAGGATCAAGCGAAATGGGGTTTGTAGGTAACTTTTGAAGTTGACAAAGGTCACACAGGTGAAGTTAGATAATAACTTTGTCTGAAAACACACTATAAAATATTCATATGATACATTTATATTATTTTAGTCAGAAAACCTATGTCATAGGTACTAACCTATGTTTTTAATTCATTTTTATACCACAAAGGTGGCAAACGAGCATACAGCCCGTCTGATGGTAAATAGTCACTATAGCCTATGGACGCCTGCAACACCAAAGGTGGCACGTGCGCGTTGCTAACCCTAAAGAAACCTTATTTATTTATTTATTTACACTTTATTGCACCAAGTAAAAAAAAAAAACAAATACAGTAAATATTAATGAGAAGTGATACAAAAGGCGGCCTTATCGCTAAGCAATCTCTTCCAGACAACCTTTGGGTAGAGGACATTGAGAAAAAGACAAAAGGTAGGTGGCGCACTATTATATAAATATTATCATATACAAACATATATACATACATACATACACATACATATATAATATATACACAATCAAATATATACATAACATACACATACTTAACAGCACACATACAACAGAAAAAAATGACGAAGGAAAAAAAAGAGAGAATACAGGAAAATAGTACTAAAGTGAGAGGTAGTAGAATTTAACAGAGGTTTTGAAGCTAGTAAGAGTTTGAGCGCACCGAATAGAGATAGGTAGTGAGTTCCATAGGCGAACTGCCTGAACAGTAAAGGATTTAGAATAAAATGAAGAATACCCTTTTTGAAGAATCCCATACTCCTCTTCGGCAAGGGGCTCACGCTCATGAGAAAATTTCTCTAAAACCATACTGTATATGACCATTTAGGCTTAAGCGTGTGAGGATGAATTCCCTATCGATAGCGAGCGGTACGATGATAAAAGGTGGCTGCAGACATCATTTTAAACAATTCCTCAGAACACAATCTGTTATATAGACGATAGAACACACAAAGAAAGGCAAAGTCTCGCCTTAGACTTAAGAGCTCGATACCGCTTTTGAGCTTGGGATCGTCAACAATTCTCATAGCCCATCTGTGCACCGAATCAAGATGACCAAATTGGTATCTAGGTGCTCCGGCCCACAGATGAGAGCAGCATTCTATGAGGGCTGGAATTGCGACTTGTACAACAAAAATCTATGTATCGGAGTGAAGTATCATTCCGCTCTATTGAGCATCCTGAGCTTTTTGGACACTAACTTGAACCTATCTTCTAGATGACTTCGGAACTCTAGAGCGCTGGAAACGTCGACACCGAGGACAGTAATACTTTTAGAGAAAATAATAAATGTGTTTCCGAATTGCGAAGCCACAGAAAATGGGGCTTTTTTAGCGGTGAACGCGCAAGTTTGTGTCTTAGATGATATAAAATATATTGATTCCTATAAAAATTACTATAATAACCCAAGGTATCAAAAATTGCCTATTAAAGCTAATATAAAATACTAATTTATTTTTCTATCTATCTATCCATGCGAAGCTGGAGCGGAACACTAGTTCATTATAATGACTAACCCCCCTGTGTATAAAAACTTCAGACCTCTCATAAACCTAGTTCAGCCATTCAACTGTTTTGTCTTTTTCCTTTGAATGAAATTCTCAATTTAAAAAATCTATAGGTTTTAATTTTAATAAATAATAGGATAAGAATCAAGTTTCTTGGTCATTAAAATATGTAATGATTAAATAAAAAAAAATGTTATTATAAATTAATTTTCTATCTACAGTTAACCAAGTAATATCCGATGACAGTGGTAAAATTAAATTCTTGGAAGGCTATAATATTGTACCTATTAAGTGTAACTTTCGTACCTCCCGATCCCTTTTACAATCCACTTAATATTCTGCAGAATGAGGCGAATAAACTGAATTTGCCACACTTGAATACAAAGTTTACTAATTGGTTGTTTATTAATTATCCTGCACTTTCGTTAATATTGACGTCATGCTGAATTTTGGTTTAAATAACTGATTATAAATTAAATAAAACAATTAATGAGTAACTGATTAATTTGTTTTTTCTTTAGGTTTATAATACAAGATTCGTATCCTTAAAAATTTGCTACAATTTCTAATTAATTTCCTTCTATAATCCTAATAATATTATTAATATGAAAGTTTTTAAAGATATTCAGATATTTGTTGCTAAATCACTGATTTTAATGAAATTTGATGCACGGATACCTTATATTCTAACTTAATATATAGAATATTTTATATACTGATGGACGTAGTAGAGCCACAGTTCCGAATAGTACCAAAATTAGTTGAGCTTTCTCAATCAAATGCCATGTAAGTTAAAGCGGTAATGATTACATTAAAAGAGTTCTAAATGGTTACTTTGAGACATAAACGGAATTGAATTCATGAGTCCATATATTAACGTAATAATCAATTGCAACTAAAAATTCATAATTATATAATCAAAAACTAAAAAGTAGGTACATATTAGAAATCGACTATTAATACATTAAAAGAAAATAAGCACTCAGTTTTACGTCGAAATATTTTCTCAAAATTTACAAGAAAAAGATATAAAATTTTAATATTGAACTGAGCTATACATGAGGTAATGGAAAAAGAGTCAATTTACCACTATTCCTTATAATTCCCAGGATATCGTAAAATACGATTACAGCAATTATACTATTGTAGGAGAAGAAAAACAAGAAACAAAACTTTATACCAAGGTGACTAGTCATTTAAAATAACAATCTTACTCTGATAGTTAACTATATTTTATCATTCTCTAATGAGGGTTGGGGGGGATCCGTGTCCTATAGTAAGGTAAATAAGTTGATATCATTTCTACTACCCCAACAATACTTACATCTAGTCCTGTTACAATAAAATTACTAAGTTTTTTTTTTAAATGGTCACAGAAATAGTCCCTAAATAAGTTTAGAAACAAACTGACACATTTGGCCATTTAATCGGTTTTCAATTTATCCTCTATTGAATATAAGCAGGCTGTCTTATGATCGGGACAATTGTTTGTTAACATTTTAAAATTTCTAATAGAACGGATAGAAAATTATTGCATTTAGATGAGAATCAAGAAAAGCTGAGAGGTCACTCAGCTTTTCTTGATTATTATTAGTGTTAGTATTGACTTATTCATTATCATCGTCATATTAGCTGTTAACTGTCCACTACTGAACGTGAGCCCTCCCTGTTGGGGAGTATCGCCAGTAGATGTCACGTTTGGCAACTGGATAGGCAACCGCAATTGGGATTTGGTGATCTTTGAAGAGGGACGCTGCTGTCCATCCATTGGCCATTAGGTTCCCTTAGTCGTCTCTTATGAAACCCATAGGAAGAAGTGGTTTATTTTATGCCGGGATTTCACGACGAATTTACTATTATTGTATCAGCCGTTAACTGTCCACTGCTGAATATGGCCTCCCCCATAAGGGTGGTTTTGCCAGTAGTTGCCAGGCTTGGCAGGCGAGTTGGCAATCATAGTTTTGGCTTTCGGTGATGTTATAAAAGGAATGCTGCTGCCCATTCCTTCACCATAAACTCCCTGAGTAGCATCTTACGATACCCACGGGAGTGGCCCATTCTATGCTGGAGCCTACACAGCGCATTTAATTAGTAGTGCTATTTACAGTTATTGTTAGCATTAAAATTACCTGAAGAGGAAGAAAGTGTTGTATGAATTTTTTTTCTATCTGTCTATATGTTTGTTTCGTCATCACAGCAGAAACAACTGTATCAATTTGAATGCGGTTTTCGCAGTTGCGTTTCAGAAGACCTTATTTAAAATATGGTGTATGTTTTATCTAGATATGCCATATAGAAGTGATTACCTACTTTGAAAATCTATGCGTACGTAAGTTTAACGTACGTAAACCGTTTTGAAAATACTGTCTTTAAATCTGCTTTTATTAATTTTGAAAACTTGGTAAGTTTTTAAATTAAAATTTATAAAAAACTTATATTTGGAACATACATTATATGGGTGTGAAACATGGACAATGACGCAAAAGATGTTTGAGACATTCGAATTGTGGATATGGAAGAGAATGTAAAGGATAAGCTGGACAGAAAAACTAACGAATGAGGAAGTCCTAAAAAGAGTAAACGAGAAAAAAACATTAATTAAAATAATAGAGAATAGAAGAGACAAAATGCTGGGCCACCTTATACGACATGACGATTTTTAAGAGCACAGTAGAAGGAAAAATAGAAGGCAAAAGAGGAAGAGGAAGACCAAGAAATAACTACATGGGACAGATAAAAAGAAACACTAGATGTAATGTTGTATAGGGAGGTTAAGGATATGGCCTGGGATAGAACTGGCTGGAAGAAGATGCATGAATTTGTTGCACTGACAAGAGGAAATTTTTAAATGAAAAGATAAGGTAAGTTTTTGTAATTTTTAAGCAGTAACATGGTATTAAATTTAGCTAGAAATTGAATTTAATTACAGCACGCGAAATATATAGTTTCGTTATCTGTTAATTCATATATGTTAGCATCTATATGTAGTTATGTTATAATATTTTAATTTTTAAACATACGATAAGTTGCATTTTATAGGTAGACAATTTTTTTTTGTAAAATTCCCTATAAAGGCGCAATTTTAATATAACGTTTCGTAGTTTCGAATCATTACAAATAGTTGTTACAGGGTGCAAGCAATATTTTTACTTAATTCACTTTTGTTAGCTTATTTATCTTTAAAAAATATGTTACTACTGAGAATTTAATTTCAAACAACTTATTTAATAGAATAAACTTACTATCTGTAAGCAAAAACAAGCACTAAACATATAATTGAATGAAAAAAATTATAATTTATTTTACCATAATACAAAATTACGAATAACACCTATATTTCCTATTGAATTTTAGAATTAAATGATATTTTTTCTCTGATGAATTAATATTTATTTTAAGAGCATTTTCATTTTTTTTATAGATATTAGAAGATTCAACGTTTTCCTCATACACCCACAAACATAAATTTAAAGTAAAAAGACAAATTACAATAATCAAGTTAATGCCCATGATTTACGCTAACTGCGTGCGTATTGTTCGCTCAAGCATCAATCTTTTTCTGCAATAAGCGTGAAAACCGGAATAAAGCTAATTGAAAAAGTTTGACAAAGGAAAAAGAAAAAAGAAAAACCTCATTTTTTCCCAGGTAAGTATCAAAGATCACAGAGAGCATCCCTTAAGGAATGTTACACATCCATCAAAAGAATATTAACACAAATTCACTGACTCACTTGTATCCCATTTTTTGAAAGAATTTATCACGAAGAAATTAAAAAAAAAACACTGCCTTTAACTAATAAAAAAAAATATCTATTGGGTTACGTGGTTTGCTGACGGAATTGAATTTGGAATTGGCGCCTTTCTTTAAGCAAACATCTCGCCTACCGACCGTTTGATATTATCTTACTACGTGCAGAAGGCTTAGCGTGTTACCCACTCCAAAGACTTTGCGTACCTTTCAAATTCGTTTGTATTGTAATGCAGCGTGCAGACTGCGGTTAGAGGAAAGTGGTCGTTTCGTACCTCCACAACGAGTTTGTTATTTCATTTCCTCGAAAGATTATAGACGTAGATGGTTACTATTCTTGTTTGTGTTTGTCAGTGCATAATACTGTGGCGCAATTGAGAATTGCGACCTCTTGTACAATACGTTATATAATTTTTATTATAAGAGACCCGTACCTACATTTCATCAACTAGTTTATCTTAATACAAACCATTACTATTTATTTTTAAAACTTCTAAATGGAATCCGATATGCGATATTTGGTCAATTTGTAGGTATTGATAAGTCTTTTTGCAAACAATAGACGTTAATTATTTTTTTAGAAATATTTTTTTTTTATTATCGTGATCACGGCCAGTGACTTCATTTTTATCATTATTACCTTTTATTGTACATCTGACAAATCGTTATTAATCTATTTTCCCATCTTAGCATAATGAAATTATTCTAAAGATGATTACTTTTTAACCAAAATTATATTTCATTGTATATTTGAATACCTACGTCTATTTCAAGTCAAGATATTATATTATAGTCATCATTATTCGCTTTACATTTAGTCTGGAAGTATAAGTACCATTAATATTACAAATCTTAACGACCTGATTTTGAAAATTACTACTTACTTCATACTTTTAGTAATTCTTTATACTGTGCTTTTAGTTTAATTAATTTTGCATACATAGAAAATAAATTAAATAATGATAAATTAAATAAGTAATAAGCTATGATAACTAAATTATGTGCTATCTAAATTTAACACCTAAGTCTTTTGGAATGGCAACTTGAAAGGTTACCATAGGTGTCACAGTCTATTACTGTGAAGTCCATTTCGTTTGCCATTTTCAGTGTTTTGTTTTAATGGGTGAGAATGAGATGGTGACCCTGGCTGCCTATCGGTATACGCTGGCAGGTTACCATATATATATAGGTGAGGAGAAAAAAAGCAGGTCAGTTGGTCCATCGTGACGAATTCCACAAGAACCACAACGAAATAAGACTATTACTAACAATCCCTTTCCCCCGTTTCCAATTACGTATTTAAAAAATCTACATCCTTACTAATAATGTGAATGTTAAACTGAATTTATTTGTTTGTTACCTTTTAGCGTCTTAACGATTTAATCAATTACTATGAAATTTAGTACACACGTAGGCATGAAAAAGGTTTTAATATAATTTTTTATCCCGGTCAGTGTACATAAGAGTATCCTGGTCACGCGGACGAAGTCGCGGTTAAAAACTAGTAAGAAGTAACGGGGCATTGCTACTATATCTTTGTACCTCTATTAGGTTGCGAAGAAGAAAAAAAAAATAGGTTTTATAAAAGTGTAGAGGCTCAGTCTACTACATACTCGTAAAGTATATTTATTTCTGCAATGTCGCTAGGTTACCGAATTTTCCTCGAATTTTCCTTCTATCGCATTATTGTGTTGTGCTTTGTTCCCTTAGTTACTTCTTATAGACTGACCCTGAAAGGAAGAGGTGACATATTGACATATATACCTACATTATTCAATAGTTTACGTCAGGTCTTCGCAATTGGACTTTTCTACCATTTATGTAATTTCATTCATTTTTTAATTTATTGGTTTTTTTTTGCTCTTGATACATCTTAGTTGTATCGATCACATAATATGTGTATAACTAATACAAATATCTTACTAATATAATGAAATTATAACGAAATAATGTCTATAGTTAGGAGATATTTAAAAAAAAAATATGAAGGGTTTTAATAAAACAATAGGGTTTCTATGGGGGGAAGGAACTGTTAGTAATGGGGAAGCTAGTCTCCATTGCTATCAATATACTCTATCAGGTTAACCTCCACGCAGTTCCCCCTTGAAGCCATTGTGACTAATTTATCGTTGAATTCGTCACGATGGGCTAACTGGCCGGCATTTTCATACTCAACAATCCTCCCTCACTGTATATCGCAGGCGCAGGCGGAGATCACTATTTCATTATCATTCATAAAAAAATGGAGTATCTATTACCCTTATTAAGACCACCCCCCATTATTTTTTTAAATGATTAAAAAAAAACAATCATCATCATCATATCAGTCATTAACTATCCGTTGCTGAACACAGGCCTCCACTAAAAGGCGGGTTAATTACGAGTAAAATATATATATTCTTTTAATTTTGTCTACGTATGTTTGTTCCAGTATCGCACAAAAACTAATGCGTAAAATTAAACGCGATTTTAACACTTATACTCCTGAAAGTGTAACTTATAAATTGGTGTAAATGTTATTTTGATATGCCACCTAGATTATTGGTTTTCCTGCTTTTTAAATCTATGCATACAAAGAAATGAACTAAAAGCCAATCTTTAATAAAGACTAAATAATTTTATGTGATCGACACTATTTATACATTGACTAGTTTTGACCCTCAACCTTGTCCGTGTGACCAGGATATGCTCACTGGCTGGGATAAAAAACACACGGAGGGAGACTTTGTACAAAAGTCTATTGCTTGGGTACCTCTGCCCCATTCGTGTTTCTACCGTGAAGCAGTTGTGTTTGCATAGCTGTGTTTCGGTTTGAAAGGTGTGATATGGCGTGAATTTACTGGGTACAGAGGAATAACACCTGAGTCCTCAGGAATGGCAACGCATGGGGGGTATCATGGGCGAAACAGTATACTCCGTTATGTCCATGGTACTGCCCATGTCTATAGGCGATGGTTACCACTTTCCATCAGGTGGGCCGTCAGCTTGTTTGCTATTCTAAGTTGTATAAAAAAAAGTAGCCTATATCCATCTCCATCCCATTTAGTACGTGTATAATAATTTCATAGTGATTATTTAAGGCATTATAAAGTGACAAACAAACGAATTTACTTTCACATTTAATATATTAGTAAAGATTTACTTCTCAAATGATTATCGATCTAACGTTACAGATAATGTCATATAAAATTAAGAGCCCCCGGGAAAGACCTGCATGTATGAGATGAGTTATGCAAATGCATAAAGCAAGAGATATATTTAAGACCGTCAGTACTCGGATTTCTCTGTCTACCCTACAAGGACTTGTATAATAAATATATAATTATGAATTGATGTAAAAGAGAAAGTTTATTCTCTTACAAAGTAGAAGTCAAAATAATAACTTAAATAGGCTTATATAATACTTCTATTCATGATTTTTTTGTAGTTGCGCAGAATTGTTATCTATTGAGAAGATTCCTAATTAACATTATAAAGCTAAAAGCGAGTTTGTTTATTTGTTATAGTTTAACCAATCGTTATAATGTTTGCTACATACTATTTAGGACGGAGAAGAACATATTATGCATCCAAATCACGCGAATGAAGTCATGGGTAATAATAGATGAATTTACTATCGATTACTACGAAGTAGGTAGGTGACCTGTTCATATCCGACAAGCATAGTGTTCAACTCAAATGGTTATCTGGGTTAAATTTCATGCTTGTTAAATCATTGAGACTAAGACAGATATCATGAGAATAGCCTTATACTTACACCATTGATTTAATGGTGGACCGAACAATTTTACATTTTAGTACATTATTATAGATTTTTATCGCATGTAATTTAAACTGGGTTAACAATTCATTACGAATACATTTTAACATAAATTTAAAATTGATCTATTCAAGTCCTTTAAATTACTTAGTCCTTTTTTTAATTGCGAGTTTGACACCCGTACAGCTTCTGCTCATGAGCATAAATGAATGAATGAACGAAAACTCTTTATTGTTCCCTTCAAAGAATAATACAGATTATAAAGATAAACAATATGTACACAAACAAAATGATTACTTATTTACATAAACCTAATCACATAAAAGCGAGATAAAGATGCAACAATGGACGATAGTGATATGAATGGGTGATCTCTTCCAGGCAACTTTAGAATGAAGAGGAATAATTAAAATTGTGTTTCTTCATAATTGAGTATCCTCATAATGTATTTGTCTCGAAGTTTTCTGTGTATTATGGTATATATCTATGTATTGATAAAAAAAAAATTATAGTATTTCTGTCAATTATTATCAAACGCTTACAGTATATTATAAACTTTGTTTAGTTTAGGACTAGACAACGCTGTATAATATGCCCAGCGATATTTATTTATTTATTATTTTTTAATACATGAAAATGTTAGTATGTTAATTTACATGTGATGCACGATAGATGAAGTTAAAGTCGGGTCATTGGACCATACGTAACGAATTAAGTAATATTATTATTAAAGTTTGTTAATAACATTTATTTTTAATAGAATGCAAATTATAAATTTATAATAGTCAGTTATATGAATCAGAACCAAATATTTAACCTCAATACCTAGTAAAGAGATCACGAATTCACCAATAACACAGTTATGACATAACAAGCAAATTATTAACAAGCTTATTAAAGAGCTCCGTTTATCATTTCTCTTTACGTATTTTCCATTCTCTGAGTATTTATGGTACAAATATGAAAAAATTCATTAAAAACGGATAAAACATTTTAATTAAAATCGTGCAAACATAGAAACTTTATAGCAGTATTTATTTATTCCTTTTTTCCTGAGAACTGAGATATTAGACTTTTAAATATAATACTTAGTCATGATATATTACTTACTAACTTTTACCCGCGACTTTATCCGCGTGATTGAGTGATCCGAGTGATTTTGTTTACTAACCAGGATAAAAAGTAGCCTATAGACTGCAGTAGTAGCATAGTGACTGATTAAGCTGTAAATGTAGTAAAACTGATCTATCTGTCTAGAAGTGATCTATTCAATTAATTTTCTTATTTTTGAAATCCAGGCACACGAAGTAACAGACAAAATGTTAGTTTTTAAGAATAATAACTCTTTAATTCGGATGAAAATCCATGTTAGAAAATATGTTAGTAAAATAGTTTTTAATATTTGTATTTTATACCTAACCGTCGTTTCTTCGACAGTTGATCTTTGAGACTAGTTTAAACACTAACAGATAAATATATTACATAATTGCATGGTAGGGG